CTACCACTTAGGATTTGTGTGACATTGAGAACAGTTGCTCAACATCTCTGTGCCTCAATTTCCTCATCTATCAAATGGGGGTAATAATAATAGTGCTTACCTCATTACCTTGTCATGAGGCTTAAATGAGTTGATACGTGCTGTACGTTATCCATCATTCTCTTTGGTGTCTTTCCCTTCCTCTTCTCCACTCCGCAGTTCATTCTCTTTTATTCTCATTCTCATTCATTCTCTCTCTCTCTCTCTCTCTCTCTCTCTCTCTCTCTCTCGCTCGCTCGCTCTCGCTCTCGCTCTCTCGTTCTCTCGCTCTCTCGCTCTCGCTCTCCGGCCCTCGCTCTCCCCCCACCACCATTTTTACTTGTTTGGTTTTGCTTGGTTTGGTTTGATTTGCTCTGCTCTAACTACTGCTGCTTCTGCCCTAGGCCAGCAAGTAGCTGTGACTGGCGCTGCTTCTCCAAGAGTTAAAGGCTTAGCTGCCGAGACCTTCCCCAAGGACCACAACGACCGCTTTCCTACCCCTGTGCTGTGGCAGCCAGTTATACTTTGAATTTGCCCTTCACAGACGCTCCATCAGCAAAAGACAACTGGAAAATCAAAGTAAGCAACGCTAAGTTTTTAAAAACACGCTATGTCAGATGAAGTAGAATGTAAAGTAGAAACTTTAGCCTCAGGAATAATCAATGAAACAGAAGGAAGTAGAGAGAAAATGCAGGCAATTACATTCATTCCTTAAAGGAAAAGGTGATATTTATGCAAACTCTTGCCAAATTCGAACTGTTTTCTTTCACAGCCTTCCATCTCCTTTCTTAAATCTTTCTTCCACTTCCCAAAACGCCACCCCCCAACTCCTAGAACCTTCAAGCCATCAACTGGCCTCAACATTCTGATGAACTGATCAGATTCCGATCAGAGGCCGATCACGAGCACGTTCTGAGGGCCCTTTAACCTTGGGGTGGGGGTCAGGGTTGAGTTTTATTAAGTATACAATCACAGTCCCTTGTTTCTGTATTAATTTTCTAATCTATAAAGTATTTTCACATAAATATTCCTTTAATTCTTGACAATCAGCATGGGATTATTCCTATTTTATAGTTCTGGAAACTGAGGCTCAGAGAAGTGAGGCCACAAAACTTTGAACTCACAGAACCGAAGCTGGATTACAGATGAAATTGGAGAACTGTGAAAGACTCGGGGAGGGGGAGAGAGACTTGGCCAGGAGGGGCGGGGCCTGATGGAGAAAGGTGGAGCTAGGCTATTTTTGTTAGGGGGTTACCACTTAAGCAAATCTGCTTTACTGTGGAATTAACCTCTATTAATTCCCCAGGGTTTTTCACAGCGTCTTTATTGCCTCCACAACTCAAGCTATCCATTCTCTAAAAATTCCAAGATTTATTTATTTGTTTATTTATTTATTTGACAAATTTTTTGTACAATGGCTACCTTGGCGATACTGTTCTAAGGAGGAGTTTAAGGAAGGTACACCCGTATGTTTTATATTTGTGCTGCTTCAGAATAGAGTGTTTGTAAATTGAGAACTGTCCGTATGGCATGTGTGATGTCATTCAATATATATTCGGTCAGTCCAAAAGTATCTGGCATTTGTCCTTTACCAACATTACTGAGTATTTTAGTTTCTCAGTCATGCGAGCTTAAACTGCACAGCCGAATCTAATGAATGTCAAACTTGTGCAGTGACTCAAGTCGATTAAAGTATTTTTAAGCAGAAAAAAATTAAGAGTCACAAAGGATCAATTGGGGTGAAGAGTCATGTTAGGGGAATACAAAGAGGAATCCTTTTGAACCATCCGTTCTTCTGAATATGTTTAAATGTGCGTTAAATACAACTGTTAAGAAAAAAATGTTTATGTGAAATAACACACATCTGAAATGGGAACGTGTTGTTCTTTGTATGTAAAAGAACTGCTATGCAATCTGAAATATTTTTTAGTAATAGAAATATATGTAAGTTAATAAAACTATGCCCTTTTACCTATTTTTGGTAACTATCAGCTCTGTCCAATAGTACTTTCTGCAATAATGAAAATCTCTGCCCAATAGAGGAGCCACTCGTCACATGTGGCTGTGGAGCCCCTGAAATGTACCTAATGCTACTGAGTAACTAAATTTTTAATTTAATTTTAATCAATTTAAATTTAAATAGCCTCTTGTGGCTACTGGCTGTCTTAGAGAGTTATCAGGTTCCCCTCAGCTGTAAAAAAAAATCCTATGATTCTATCATTCTAAAGACCCCAAATTGTGAGGTCAGGATTAAGACTGGGGTTATTTATTAATTGGGTGCAGAAATAAAGTAAGCTAACCTGACAAAATTTTTCAGAGGTTGTTTTTGCTCTTATTTAATAAACATCAAAAAACTATTATGTGCAAAATAACAAGTTGGACTATGGGATATATACCCATGCTCAAAATATATATCCCTGACCGGGTAGTTTATATCTAGTGGTAAAGAAAGAAAGAAAGATAGATAGATAGATAGATAGGAAGAAAGAGAAAGAAAACAAGGAAATATAAGAAAGGAGGAAAGTGGGAGGAGTTTGGACAGAGACTATGTCCCAGTGGGTACACTGGTCTCACAGTTTCTGTTAAATCCCAACTCAGTACATCCTAACAAGACAAGGCTGACCAGTAAACTCATCCTTTTAACTAGTATTGCTTACTAAGCTCCTATTTTAGGACAAACAACTGTGCTGAGCTCTGGTGACACACTGCTGAGAAAGACAGGATGCCCTTCCGGAAACTTAAGAATCTTCTAGGAAGTAGAGTCAGGTGAGCAAGCAATGAGAATACAATGTACCACTGCAGGCATAGATTCTAGGTGCCCCAGGAGCACACAGAAGAGGCTTCTAACCCAGTCTTGGAGGCTCAGGGAAGGCTTCAAGAGCAGAAAAGAAAGTTCCAGGAAGAAAAAAAAGAAAAAACCTGGAGTATCTTCCCTATTGAATCCACCTAATATTTATATTTCTTTGTGGAAATTTCCTTTTCATTGGGCATTATGTCATCGACCATTTCAAGGGTGTTCACTTCTTGAGTACATTTCAATCGATATATATTATTCAAACTGATGATTGAACAGCTTCATCATTTTCCTGGAGGGCTTACCATGTCCTAGGCGCTAAAGGTATATGTGGAGACATTTCTCCTAAGGAAAATAAGTTCCCAGGTCAAATATTTCAATAATCTTCCATGCAAGAAAAATGTAATACTGCCCTGGGATGCATGGTTTCTTCTTAAGAGTTTCTTTTTTAAATTATGTGTGATTTTCTATCCAAACTAAATTTAGACATTTCTCCGAAATAAACTTTAGGAAGGCTAAATAAGTAAAAGGAAAAAAATCCCCAACGAAATGTAAATTTAATATTTCAATGCAATTATGCTTGTTAGTAGGGAATTTCTATAGCATTGTGACCACAACGTGGGATTTACCTCGGACAGTTTGGGTTCAAATTACAGTTCTTTCACTTACAAGCTGGAGGGGACTTGTTATCTAACTCGACTGTGCCTCAACTTCTTATCTCTAAGGAATGAAGTTAAGCTGGTTAATGGGACAATAACAGCTCCTACTTCACACAGTGGATGAATTAAATAATCGCATATTTATAAACAACTGAAAATAGTGCCCGCCCCAAGTACTACAAGGACATCAGCTATTCTTATTAATTACAATAATTCTAATTGCAGAAACCTACGAGAAAACAATACACACAGTTCTGGTGGGAAAGTTAAAACTGGTGTGGAAAAAAAGGGACATCCGGCAAGTCCCCAGTCTGTACTTTTGCCTCAAGGTGGGAGTGAGAGAAAAAAGCCCCCAGAACAGACTGTGAGGAAACCTGAAAAGAGCAAATCCATAACGCTGTCTTCCCAGGCAAAGCAGTCGGTAAACAAAGATCTTAACTTCCTAATTCGGGCTAGTATATATATATTTTTAATTTGCTTCCAAGACTTTGATGGAGCGACTTGAGGAAAAGGAAACGGTCACAATTACTAGAAAGAACTTAAAAAAACACTGGAGATGAAGCAGTTGGAATACTTCTGGAACAAATGTTTCCTTGTAAGAGCAGAGATAGGGGCGGGGTGTCTGTGTAATGTCTACTCAACGCAATAGAAGAATCAGAGGAAATCTTCGCCGATTTCGATTTCCAAAAGTCTTAACGGGGAACCATCTGGAACCTGCTGCACAACAAATCCCACGTTCACCGAATCCTCGAGGATTTCCTCGTGGGTCCGGGAGTTTCATCTGACAAATACCAGTGTCTCTGGGACTCCCCGGGTACAAGGGATGGGTCAAGGCCTCTCATCCTTTCGTCCCTCCCTCCGGTGCACGCTTTCACAGCCACAGTACCCCATGGCAAGAGCCACGTACACAGGCACCGACAGCTGCCAACAGGGCGTGATCGCTTCCCAGACTGCAATCTCCCCAGCAGGGCATTCCCACGCGGCCAGGCGAGTCCGTGAAAACTCCGCAGGGCCTCGAGGCCCCCTGCGGCTTTCCTCAAAGGATCCCGAGAAGAGCCCTGATGTTTAGAGCAGTGTAGGTTTTGCAGGTCGCAGGCGCGGGCTGGGCGCACCCGGTGCAAGCCCGGCTGGCGTGCACTTGGCAGCCTCCCAGCTGACGGAGCTGGACCAAGGGGGCATTGCGGGGGCCGAGATTAAAGGCTCGCGTCTCCGCACCACTAGTCTCCTCTCTCCTGGACTCCCCGGCCTCCCCCATCACTTCACTCTTCTCCTCCCCCCGGCCTTCCCCTCCCCGGTTCCCCTCCTCTCCCCTCCGCTACCCTACCCGGGGTCCGGGAGGCGGCGCCTGCTGAGTCACCGTCACGTGGCCCCGGGTGCGCAGGGGCGGGCTGCGCCTCGGCGGCACTGGCGCTCCGAGCCCTAGTGGAAAATTTTCGGAAACCTACTGGGGCTGCGCGCCCGAGGCCCCGCCTCTCTCCCCTCTGCCCCACCCCCACCCCACCCCCTTCCCGGTCCCCGGCCTTCCGGCCGCAGCCCGGCGCGCCGCTGTGGAGGTTCCTTTCTCCCCGGGAGCGGCGCTGCGCACGCCCCGCCCGCCGCCGTCCCCTAGGCTGGCGCCGCCCGCGCCGCTGGCCCTCCGGCCGGCAGCCCTCACTTCCTTAGCGACCCTTCTTGGAGCTCCGAGCCGCCGTGCGGTCTTGCCCCCGACCTTGTGTGTACCCGGCTGGCATCCTGAGAGGCGAGGAGCGGCGTCCTGGCGCCTTCGCCTTCGCCTCTGGGGCGCCGCAGCCCCCTCGGCCCCGCCACCTCCGATCCGCGTGACACGGGTCCCCCCCATACCTCTTGGGGGGGGGGGTGGAAGACAAAGGAAGGAGATGGTTCCAGTGGGCGTCTTGCCTTCTACTCATTTAACGCCCTGCATTGCCTCGTCGTTCGAACACATCGTGTACTCGGCCCTATTGTAAATAGTTTACTTACCCCCGCTTACCACCAGGAAAATAAACAAGTTGTTTTCCCTACCCCATAACATTCCCCACTTCGTTTTCCAGCCACGAATAAAATGTATTCCTGAGACAGCAACTTTGGGGAGTTCGTTGGCCTCACCCACCCAGGGGTGACAAATGGTTACACAATGACGATATTTCACTCAAAAGGGGTGTGTTAATGTGCGTGGATCACTTCAAGAAAGCAAACATTTCACAGTTTCCTCGACTGGTGGACTTTTGGACTGTCCTTTCGGATGGGTGTCGCTGAATGGGGAGGGGGGTTGAGAAGTGGCGTCGGCACCAGGTGTCTCACGATGAGGTTAGTTAGAGGTGGACGCAGGCGTCTTAATCGGACACCAGGTACCAAAGATTTCGTCCAAAACAGTGGGAGTTTTACCTGAATAAAGATCCCGGAACCAAGCCCAGATATTAAAATGCTTTCCAGCTAAGAACCAGAATTGCAGGTATGTTAATTTTAATAAATCCTTATTTCAGTATCTTAGCTCTGGGCAAAGAAAGATACGGAAACTGACTGAAGGCCAGGAATATAAGTCCATGGTGGCTTAAGAATGTTTTGAGTAGAACACATCATTCAGTCGCTGTCATTTTTCTCTGGACAAGAAAACAGACTGTTAACAATTAAGCGTAAAAATAAAAGTATTTTTAAATCGCTCTATTTTGGAAAATTATGAGTCTGAAATTTTAAAGTCGCTTACTGCTCATTAGCAGGTGTCAGTTTACCCAGTGAAAGAACCATGGTCAATTTAAAACAATCCATCATCTTTCTGACACTGTTTTCATTCATATTCATTAGTATATACCACACCTACCAAAATGGACCATTCCAAGGTCATAGGAAAATGCCATTGGGTAAAAACCACAAAAAGGTCTTTAATCAAGTCATTTCTTCCCCCTTTATTTGGTGAGGAGATGAGATAAACAGAGTACTGATACTCTAGGAAGTTCTACAGTCCTGCCATAAATATGTTTATACTAAAATGTCTGTAAATCTATCTAAATATTGCTAAATTTTTTTAAGGTTGAGTTTCTGTGCACACCATAATTTTCTTTTTCAATGAGTGGTGAGGTATGCACTCACAAAACGTTAATGCTTGTGAACGTATGGATTCATAATAAAAAGTGGTTTTTTTGCGTGACTATGTTACCATGCCAGTAGGATCAGAGACATCCACAGCAGTACTTCCCGGAAATATCATCTCTCTTAATAAAATTGACTCACAGAATTGGTACTTCTTTCTTTTTCAGTGGATGTGGCCCTGTCTGCACATGAGCCCTGAAACCACTGCAGCCAACGCATGACCATGACAGGCAATAGCTCCAGCATGCTGAAGATGGCAGAATGAAAAGACGGTGAGCTCTTAATCTTTGAGGAGATTAAAAGGCCTAGGACTAGAGGCCTAAAAGAATTAACCTTAGGACTGCCCTATCTGTAGACTTCCGATTATACGAGATAGTAAGTGTCATTATTTAAGCCACTTATAATTGCATATTGTGTTTCTTGCAATAAAAACTCTTCTGCTACTGACAACCTCTCTGTGGTAGCTAGCCTCCAGAAGGCCCCAACGATCCTCACCTTCTGGTAGTCACATCTTTGTATAATCCCCTTGTACATTGGATCGGGGCTTGCTTTTGTGACTAGTAGAATATGGCGGAAATATAAAATGTGATTTCCAAGTCTAGTTTATAAAGGCATTGCCTTGATCTCTCTTGGATCACTTGCTTTGGAATCAGCCACGTACCATGTCATGAGGATGCTCAGTCAGGCTTGTGGAGAAACCTTCTTGGAGAAAAATCAACGGGCCAGTACCAACTTGCCAGCATGTGAGTAAGTGACCTTAGAAACAGATCATCCAACCTTAGGCCATCAGATAACTACAGAAATAGTTATCATATGGCTACAACCTCATAAAAGACTCCAAGCTAAAACACACAATTGAATTGCTCTCGAATTTCTGATTCATACAAACTTTGAGAGTTTCAGCCACTGAGTTTTGGAATAATTTTTACACAGCAACCGCTACCTAGTACAGTATCCTTCAATACCAGAAAAACACGCCAAAGTCACCTGGGTGCTCAGACTTACTACTATTGCTTGGGGCTTAGGAGCTGTCTTAACAAAGATAAAATATAGCCCTTCATTTGTTGGGCCCCTACTAAGCATAATCTCAAGAATAAAATATAAAATATGATAAGAAAAAAAAAGAAAGGAATTTATTGAGGAACCTGGGAGAGATTAATGCTAAGAAAATATGGAAGTCATTGGAATAAAGGGAGGCATCTGAGCTGAAGGGAAATGGGGGGCGGGGGTGGGAGTTCACTATCCCTCCATAATGCCAGTGTCCACACTTGAATTTTCAATAACACTGTCTGGACAAGAATGTCAAAATGTGTACATTGCAAAAAGTCATATTAATTAGGTAAAATGAAGCCATTAGAAAGCAATTCTTGAAATCAGTTCTCATGCTTGTGGCTTACAGAAGACTGGCCTCAAGGAAAAATCTGTCCTTTTCCACCATCAAGTCGTTGCAACAGACGTTTATTATGTGCTAGGCACTGACGGATAAAGTTAAATGTGCTAATTCAATCAACACTGTTGAACTCCTTCAGTGTATGAGGCACTGTTCTAGGCACTGATGATTCAACGATGAGCAAACCGAAAGACTTATCCTTACTTATCCTTGTCTCCAGAAAGGAGTTTGAGAGGGAAAATGCAGGAAGGGGGAAGAAATCATAGGCAAATAAACAAATAATGAAATAATCTGTTCTTATACCATGAAAAAATACAAAAACTAAAATACGACAATGAGGAAATGGAGATTGCATGCAAGGGGCGACTTTTGCTAGGATGGCCAAGGAAGACTTTTTTTTATAAGTTAGAATAATCTCTTTTTATTTTTAATTTTTAAATAAATGTATTTATTTATTTTTGGCTGCGTTGGGTCTTGGTTGCTGCGTGTGGGCTTTCTCTAGTCGCGGCGAGCGGGGGCTACTCTTCATTGCAGTGCGCGGGCTTCTCATTCCGGTGGCTTCTCTTGTTGTGGAGCATGGGCTCTAGGCACACGGGCTTCAGTAGTTGTGGCTCGCAGGCTTCAGTAGTTGTGGCTTGCGGGCTCTAGAGCGCAGGCTCAGTAGTTGTGGCACATGGGCTTAGTTGCTCCACGGATGTGGGATCTTCCCGAACCAGGGCTCGAACCCGTGTCCCCACCGTTGGCAGGCTGATTCTTAGCCACTGCGCCACCAGGCAAGTCCAGAAGACTTTTTTTTTTTCAGGAGTGATATTTAAACAGACCTAAGTGATGCTACCCAAACATAGAGACAAGGAGATTTCCAGGTGGAAGAAACAGCAAGTACAGTGCCCTGAAAAGGGAATAACTTAAGAGTATTTCAGGGACAAAAAGAAAATCATTGTGGCTAATACATAGTGAAAAGGAACAGTATAAATCAACTGTACTCCAATAAAAAATAATTTTAAAAGAAGATAGAATGATGCAACAAAAAAAAAAGAAAAGAAAAGAAAAGGAAAAGAGTGGCAGGAGACAAGGCTGAGGAGGTAGGCAAGGGCACAACCAGGTAAGGCCATGGTGAGTGAGGAATATGGACTTCATTCTGGTTGCAATTAGAAACCACTGAGGGCTTTCACAATTTATTCTTTTAAGCAAGGGATTTCATTTACGTTCTGAGAAGATCTTACTTTCTGCCAGGTGGAGAGCAGACAATGAACACCAAGAACGGAAGCCCAGAGATGAGTTAGGCTGTGGCGTTTGCAGTGATCCTGGAGAGAGGCGATGGCCGCTTGGACTAGGATCCGAGTAGTGGAGATGGCAAGATTCTGAATATATTTGGAGGCAGAACCCTCAAGACTTGCTGATGGATTGGGTATTTGAGGAAAAGGAGGGCTCCCTCATGAATGGTAGCATTATACTTCTAAATTGTAAAGAATTAGGAGAGGAACAGTTTTGCTAGGGAAGTCAAGAGTTCTGCTTTGGGCTTCCCTTTGGGCGCAGTGGTTGAGAGTCTGCATGCCGATGCAGGGGACACGGGTTCGTTCCCCGGTCCAGGAAGGTCCCACATGCCGTGGAGCGGCTGGGCCCGTGAGCCATGGCCGCTGAGCCTGCGCGTCCGGAGCCTGTGCTCCGCAACGGGAGAGGCCACAGCAGTGAGAGGCCCGCGTACCGCAAAAAAAAAAAAAAAAGAGTTCTGCTTTGACCAGTAAGGAATGAGATAGATGCTGTTTAGACATATTAGATAATATGCTTTCTACTGTGTACTCCTACATTTATTCATTCAACAAAAATGTATTACCAGGTACTGTTCTAGGTACTGGAGCTAACAGTGATCAAAGCAGATTAAACCTCTGCCTTCATGGAACTTATATTCTAGTGAGGGAGACCAACAGTAAACAGATAAATAAATATAATTCAGGTAGTGGTAGGTACTTAAATAGGTACTTCAGTGTATTTCATTCATCCAAATACTCAAAAAGTACCTTCTTTTTACAAGTGACTAGGTCAGTTGTGATCAGCCAGATTCTACCCTAAAAGATATTAACAGAAAATGTCGTACATAGACAACACGAAAAGAAGTGGCACAAAAAGATACAAAGCACTACGTTCAAAATATTGAATAGAATGAGATCAGTTGCAAATGGGAGCATCAAATAAAGAGAAATTAATGAAAGGTCTGGCATTTAAGGTGGGCCTCAAAGGAAAGATAAGAGTTTAGATACATGGTGATAGCAGGGAAGAGGAGGTATGAAGAATATTCCAAGCGGTGGGTAAAGTTTGAATGGGATATGGGAAATTGTTCGAGAACAGTGGCAAACGCACAGGGTAGAAGAAGAGGAATGTATTAGTTATCAATGGCCGAGTAATTAACTACTGCAAAACTTAGTGGCATAAAACAACAAACATTTATTATCACTTATTTCTGTGGGTCAGGAATCCAGGCTGGGCTTAGCTGGGTCCTCTCACTAACGTATTAGCTGGGACTGCAGTCATCTCAAGGTTCAGCTGGCCATGACCAGCTTCAATGCTTACTCTTGTGACTCTTGGCAGGCCTCCCTGGGCTGTTGCCAGAGACATTAGTTCCTTGCCCTGTGGGCATCTCTGTAGGACAGTTCACAAGATGGCAGCTGGTTTCCCTCAAAGCAAATGAGGGAGAGAGCAAGAGAGAACAAGACGGAAGCCAGAGACTTTTTGTAACCTAATCTTAGAAGTAACATACCATCACTTTTGCTGAATAGAAGCACATCAGTAGGTCCAACCCATATTCAAGGAAAGGGGATTACAAATGAGTATGAATATCAGGTGAGGTGCATTGAGCTTCATCTCAGAAGCTGCCTACCACAAGGAACAGTGGGGGATTAGGATGGAAATATAGGCTAGTGCCACTTCAAGGGAAGCCACGAAAGCCAACCTGAGAATGAAACTACTCGGCTGGACATGAAGGGTAGAGACAAGCAAATATAATGTGGGAGCCCACTTCGGGCAAACTGAAATGCTGGATAAATAGAATTTTGAGGACCATCCTGAAGACGATCTTGTTCAACCACAGGTTGGGAAACAGCTAGAGCCCCCAGAAACAGACCCACTCTATTTTATTAGGTGATAATGGTCAAATAATTCTACAGAAGAGAGCTATCTACCCTCCCTAAAAACTTCTACCGACCTATCTTGACAATGCAGTGCATTCCTGAAAATCCAGAGTTGGCAACTAGTATTTGTGATTATTTTCCTGTCTTAGGATAGGTTTACTCTTAGTAGCTTTCAAAATTCTTTGATCCCAGCCCACAGTAAGAAATAGATTTTACTTCATAACTCAGAATATATACATATTTGTACATAATCCAAATTAGTTTTATAGAATAGTACTAGCATTACTATATATGGCATACTGATATTTTAAATTCTATTTTGTTCTATTGAATTAAAGAAAAAAAAAAGCGTGTAGTAATCCACTGAATTCATCACTGTCCTTTCCTGGGTCCCATTCTGCAGGTCTGAAAGACACTGTTCTGCTAAAACATTTGCTTAGGAATAGAGCAAAGTCATAGCACTTCTGACCAACAAGAATTTGGCGGTATAATTTCCTAGAAATTGGGTCAGGGTACTGTGTCCCATGCACTCTAGCCCAGGGCATAAGGGCAAAAACTCAAGCACATCAGGCCTCACTTGGAAGCCACTTGAGTAACCAGATATGCCTCAAGTGGCCTCTGAAAACATGAATCAAATTTGCAAACGAAAAATCAATGTTTCAATACCTCCCCCTCTTTTTTGTCATTTACTGTTCAGGTTCTTGTCATAGAGAAGTCAGAACAGGATTACAGGCCTCCCCCCAACACACACGCACACACCCCCTCAATTTTACAGGTTTCCTTAAGCCTGCACTGCAATCCAAACCACCAAAACATCCAATGGACAAGAGAACTAGTCTGAGAGTAGGATTTGCCAACCATGACCACCTCTGACTATGCAGGGGACTAACCTGGATGAAGAACTGATTTAAGATCTTTTGATTTTCATCAGTTGAAACCTGATAGAAAGGAACTTCCAGCGAGTCCTCTCTAACCCACTACTAAGAGTGCTTTCCAGACAAGAGTTGATCGGTGTTATTAGGGAATGTGCGTGGAAGAAAGGTAAGTTTTTTCAGCCCCAAATGTGTATCAAGTGCCAAACTTGCCCTGGGGAGCTCACAGTCTCCCTGGTAAGACTACAAACTTGAACAATTTTGAGTACACGACAGCATAGGTTTTAAAAAGTCCTCGCCACATGGGTTAGAAAACAGTCCCTGCAATAGGAGGGGTGACGAGGGAGGCTTTCCTGAGGCTCAGTGACTAAGCCTTGAGTGATGGTGAGAAGCTGGGCACTGAAGCAAGCAAGAGTATTGTTTAGGTGAGACTGGTCTGACCAGTCGAAGGGGTGGGGGAAGAAAGCAGTATAAAGGGGAAATCGGGTCCCCCCACGTCAATCATGAACACTGGTGCAGGCCGAGGGCACCCGCAGCCTCACGTGCCACGGAAATAGACAGTTGTACAGATTTCCTCAGGAAAACATTGAAAGCAAAAATTGTGATCACACCCAACCCTGCCCAATCTCTCCCACGTCCTCAAAAGGAAGAGAGCAGTAAGTCAGATCGTTTGTTTATTCATTCATTCAACCAACAATTCTCTCTCCTAAGAGGCCTTTGTTTCCAGCCTTTCCGGCAGCACCGAGTATTCCACAGCGAAGGGGCCCCCTAGTTGCCTGGCTCAGCAAGACCACATCAACACTGGAAGGGGAGGACCAGCATTCCAACCGAGGCAGCGCCTATGTAAATACAAGGAGAGAGAGGCGAGGAGAGCTCTCCAATTGGGGTGGGGTGGTGGGATGACTGCAATGTGTTTGCGAAGGGAAAGTGGGACTCCTACACTTCATCGGAAGAGCGAAGCCCCCAACCAAGGACCCCTTTCAAGGAGTCTGGCTTATTGGGCAGGACGTAGCTTTACCCTTAATAGGGTTTTCCGTGTCCGTATAGAAAGGATCTCCCGAAATGGAGCTGCCAACCGACCTAATCAGGCTAGTTTTGAAGAGTGAAAGCAGGTCTAGGAGGAGAAGAAAGAACGAGAACAGAAACCTACCATGGAGACAACGTTGCTGCGTTGGCCCAACTTTGCTAGAGAAAACCCCCCATGTAAATCACAAAAATAACCGGCAGGAAAGGATTGGGTGGGTGAGATGTGTCCCCAAAAAGCCTCAAGGAGAAAGCAAAGCCTGCTGGAAACTCGGACAAAAGGGTATTTGAAGGAGAAGGTTCCTGAAAGACAACCGCATGTCTTGGGCACCAGTCCGGGCTGAAAGGGACAGACCGGGGGAAGCACGGGGGGCGTCTTTCCAAGGCTGACCAGGAGACAGCAGAGCGGGGTTGGCCCGGGAGGAGGGGGGCGCCAGCGGGCGGGGCTAGGCGGCCCGAGTCAGCCGCCGGGGACGGACGCGGGTGGGGCGGGGTGGGGCCTTGCGGGCCCGGGCGGGCGGGCGGGGGGCGGAGCCCAGGTGGTGTTGATACACAAAGAGCAGGCACCCGGGGGCTGGGGCCCCGCCCACTGACGCGTCCTCCAAGGCGGCCGCTATAACCCGCCGCTCGCGCCGCTGGCTCCAGAGCCGCGCGAGGCTGCCGAGCTGGAGCGCTTTTCCTGCAGAACCGCCAGCTGCCCGACCACGCGTTCCCGCACACTCGCTCCTTTCCCTTCAGACGGCGGACGCCGGACGATTGGAGCGGCAACTTGCCATTTCCTTGTTTAGTTAAAATTGCTTTCCTGCCTCTAGTTGGATTTTCCGTTTTGTTTTTCTTTTTTTTACAATTTTTGTTTGAGAAAAACTCACCGAAGGCGTTTGCGTGTTGTTTCCGGGATACAGGAGTCGAGCCTACTGAGGTAATGCGCGCGGGGGCGTCTGCAAAGGGCTCGGGGCCCGGGCGGGAGTGGGGGAGGGGCGTCCGGGAGGGGCCGCGGCGGGAAGGCAGCTGCCGCGGTCGTTTACTCCTGGGGAGGGCTTTTTCGGTGTGCTAGCCAGCCTTCGATCCCGGTCCGCACCGAGGTCGCGGCCCTCCTCCGGGCGAGGGAGGGGCGCGGGGGCCGCGTGCCCGCCCGGAGCGGAGCCGCATCCTCCTGTTAGGGGGAGGGGAGCCAGCCGGGCCCCGAGGCTCCGTTGCGACAAGTCTTGTGACTGAATTGAATTAATAAAAATAATTACATAAACGGGTCTTGGAATTTGGGGGCGACGGGAGTGGGTTCGGGCTTTTAGTGTAGCGGAGGCCAGGATTGGGGAAGACAAGCGGGAACGTTTGACAATCGGCGATCGATATTGCATCAGTTTCCTTTTCGGGCAGAGGAGGGGCCGGCCGGGCGAAGCGCTCGCTAGCCAAATGCCTGTGGACTGGTGTGCTCGAGGGCACGGGCGTGCGCGTGTAAACAAACCCTTGACGCCTCTGCGCGCCCTCTGCTCCCTTTCTCGGGAGAGGACTCATGTTCGCCCTTTCCGCCCCCTTCGAGTCTGTCTGCTGCTGAGGCATTTCGCCATCTGGGGGCTCCAGGTGTGAAAGGACGAATTACGCGGCATTGCTATTGTAAATGTTAGAAAGGGGGAGCTGTGCGCCTGGGCTACATGCAGTGCACACCTAGCCAATGCCTGGGTGGGATGTTTGCCCTGCGTGCCTGTGCACGACCTAGGAGGCTGCGGGAAAAGCAAAACAGAGCCCCCGCACCCCTCCCGTGAAACTTGAGAGAATGGAGAGGGAGAAACACTAAATTCCGTTGGAGAGGGTCATCGGGGTCCGGGGGGGCGTGGGCCTCCGCAGGCGCAGCGCTGCAGGGGGACCATCTTTGTTCTCCGCGGCTCCGCGGTCTGTACTTTTCCGCCCCTCGGCGCGCGCCCCCGCCCTTCGCGCTCGGCTGGTACTTTTCCACTCGCCTGGCCGGGGATGAATCAGCCTAGCAGCGCCGCCCGGCGGCGTCACGTGACCAGGGCGGGCTCTGCAGTCCTGACGCGCCGCCTCTACCTTCACAGGCAGCCGCGCGGGCCAGTGCATCTCCAAGGACAAAAGGAGCCGAGCGTTACTCGCTGTGCCTGATTCCTCCTGCCGACCAGCATGAAGAAAGCCGAAATGGGAAGGTTCAGTATTTCCCCAGATGAGGACAGCAGCAGCTACAGTTCCAACAGTGACTTCAACTACACCTACCCCACCAAACAAGCTGCTCTGAAAAGGTGGGAGAAGTTGTGTGCTTTTTAAAAAACGGCCTGTGTGCATCGGAGGTTCTTTACCTGGAACTCTTCTTCTGTTGCTTTAAATTACTGTAGCGTTTGGAGAGAGCGTGTAATCTCTGGAAGATTATCCGGTGGTTGCCATGACATGGTTTCGTGTGAAAGTCGACTACTACTTAATACGCATTTAAGTAAAGATGTGTGACAGCTAAACGCGGGGACCGTTTTCTGTTGAAGCATTCCTTTGTATATTTCAATCCAATTTAGGATTTTTTTTTTCTTTTTTTGTAGCCATTATGCAGATGTAGATCCTGAAAACCAGAACTTTTTACTTGAGTCGAATTTGGGGAAGAAGAAGTATGAAACAGACTTTGTAAGTTAAAAATAATTTATGTTTCTGTGGCTTTATGGAGTAAAAGAATAGTTTTACTTTTAGATTTCAAATCTAACTTGCCCAAAGCTGGTTTTCTCCATTTAATTATTGTTATATGTTTGGTTATCGTTTTCCCTCTATGTAGCATCCAGGTACTACTTCCTTTGGAATGTCAGTATTTAATCTGAGCAATGCGATTGTGGGCAGTGGAATCCTTGGGCTTTCTTATGCCATGGCTAATACTGGAATTGCTCTTTTTATGTAAGTATGTGTAAGTAGTGAGTCTGCCATGCAGGGCAGTAAATATGATGATACAACATATATTTTGGCTCCAGAGACTGAATTTACAGTTGAAGTAGTTGGCTTAAAAATCATTTGCTTAAAAGTTAAAATATGAGAAATCTGAAAATCTCTTTATTCTGCTACGTAACTGCATGATATCAAAAAAGCCAATTAGGTAGGAAAAATTAGGACAACTCTTAAAACCGATAATTAAACCAAAAAGTCTTTAAAGTCAAAGGGGATAGTTACAGTTGAATAGGGCTTGAATATTTAAAAAGAACTGTTGATAAATCCAGGGTAGAATTTTTATTCTGGCAAACTCTGAAGCAAGAAATATTAAAAAGCATGGTATCCTTCAAGTCAGTTTGGTAAATTGACAGTCTCCCCAAGGACCTGTGGCTCCTTTTGTACATAAAGAAAACAACTTTTTTTTTTTTTTTAATATATAGGGTGTGGTGGTATTTGTCTAACCTAGAACATGTTTTTAAGAAAAGTGAGTCAATTTTCTGGACCCTGAAAAGCAACCCATATGTGATTTTTTAATTTATTTTTTGTTTTCTTTTTAATATTTATCTCTTCCAGGTCTATGTGATTGCCACAGCAAAAGATGAATATTTTAATAAGTACCTCCTTTGCATTCCCTTTTTTTTCCCCCTAGTTGTCCAGTTAGAATTAGTTACTCCTGTGCTTTCCAGCGTAAATACCTAGAATAGAATTTTGGAGCTGTAGAAGACTTTAGAACAGCAGTTTTTAACCATTTGCGGGGGGGGTGGTCACTGACCTTTGGAGAATGTAAAAGTATGGACCTTATTCCCAGGAAAAAACAAGCATAAAAGAAAAATACATGTGAAGTTTAGTATGCGTTTTCAGTGATGTTTGTATCATAGCAACTAAGATTGGGCTTCTGTGGGCTCCTGGCTAAGGAACTTTCAGTGGAAGATATTGTGATTTACTATCAGGCAAAGAAACCACATATGCACGTAGCGTGGAATTGTCTCTTTGCTACAGATATGTTTTAGTTAACTGACTGGTGCCTTCTACTCAAGTTATTTTTTTCTAGCAGAATAGAATGTTCATGAAAAGAAAAGCAGACCTTCGCAAAGCTCTGCTTCGTGGTGAAATTCCACGCTGAAGTTAAGCATGGCTTTGAGCTTTGGAAGCTAGGATTCACTCAGCTTGCTTCATGAGCATGAGGCTTTTTGACATCTAAGACCAAGAGCCAGGAATTTTTGTAGAAAGGACCCTAGAGTTTCAAAGTTTTTAGTGGGGTACTTGAATGGCATCATTGTTAAATATTTGAAACCCTTCCTAACTCTTAATATAAAAACTGGAGGCAGTTTTTAAATGCTCCCAGTGTGGTTATGGTGCAGAATTTACATGAGATAACATGGCACCTTTGTTTCGTAAGAGAAAGCAAAATTCTGATATGTTACCCTTGCACTTTTGAAATTATTTATACTCTAATAGGGTCTGTATGTTTGATGATGAACCATTTAATAAATGGTTAAATAATATTAAGAGTGCTAAAGTGAGTTTTTAAATCCATCAGTATTTTACAACGTATATTTGGAGGTATAGACCTAAATGGTTCAAAAGCCACATGGCTGCTATCATCTGGTTAAACAACTCTTGTAGCTTACCCTTTAAAGTAGACTCAACTTGAGGTTGAAAGTGACCTCAAGGCTTATGAAGTCTGTTCATTCCTCATTGTCCTTTCTGTGTAAAAGAAAGGACTGAATTTGTCAGCACGCTTTGAACATTGTCTTTGATTAAGCCATGCTTTGTCCAGTTAGAGATGAGGCTGATTGTGTCATTTCCACTGCAGATTAGACCCCATGAAACTTTGGGCATTAGAATGGCAGCTTAATGCTACCACCTATGTTTAACTAAGAGACCTCAGTTTCTTTGCCAGTACCATATAAGGTACTGTATTCAGTTTGCCAGTAAAGAATTTGGAAAATGTGACTGTCTTCTTGTTTGCAGAGTTTTCTATGAGTTTCCCTGATTTTGATTTGGTGTTGTTCCTTTTAATAAAAAGAAATTTATGTTCTTCTTGGCTTGCGTGGGGGGAAGAAAGTAAAGCTGGAATGAGAGAGGACGTGTGCCCTAAAGGAAAACGTAGTGACTCAGTGGAGAACTTTTAGTTCCTCTCTATTCTATTTTTTTTTTTCTCCTGTTCCATCCAAGCGAAAGTACTGAGGGAGGAGACAGCCCAGTCGGACTGATAGCCTGCTTGTTCTAGCGCAGGCATTGTTTAACTGACAATGCTGGGCCTGTCTTCCATACCATGGTGTGCAATGTAGTATATGGTTCCAGTAGTTACTTCTCTGATTTGTGCCCATTTGTATGTAAAGCTGTGCCTGACACTTAACATGTCAGTATCTTTCCCTCCACTTCCTTTATAGTCCCATTCCTTTGCTTATCTACGTGGTCCAAGTAGTCTCAAGACCTTTCCTGAATCTGTCTCATTTGTATTTCACAAGTAACTGGCAGGTGTTAAAACCATTTTATAGATAAAAGGAACTATACAATGCAGAGAAGTGGCAAGTACACAGCTAATTATCATGGTGCCAGGA